ACCACTGTCGGTTAATTTGTTAAATTTAAATTTAGTTTCTGTGCATTTCTTGGTGTTGACAGACATTTTGTTAGATGAAGCCCACTCTGACTTGTTTAAGGTGTTTCCTTGCTCTGGTTGGTGTGCTAGTGCAAGTGTCATGTCGTCCACATTTTTGTAGATCTTCACGTGCGGAATTTCGTCCTCATTTACCATTATCAGAAACAATAATGGGCCGAGGACCGTTCCTTGAGGGACACCGCATTGAAGATCAATTTCATCGGATATTAGGTTGTTTGCATGTCCTCTGGGAGCGAAGGTTGATGAAGGAAGATATTCACTTCACCCAGCCCTCGTGGAAACCCAGAGAAATCATTTTCTTAATTAATGTGGTGTAGTCGATGAGATCAAATGCTTTCCTCAGGTCGATGGTGACGGTAGTGACCTCGAGTCTTTTGTCTACATTTGAAGTGATATAATTGATCAGGTCAACTAGGTAGTGGACTGTGGAGCTACCCTTGATATTTCCAAATTTGCGATGATCTAATTTGGGCGCGAATATTTTCCACAATTCTTTAGCAATTATTCTCTCGAGTATTTTGCAAGGAAAAGGTGTTAATGATATGGGCCTAAGGTCATCGAGAGAATTAGGTGGATTTGTTTTGGGAATTGGGACTGTGATAGCACGCTTCCATAGGTCAGGCACCACGCCCTCAGTGATGGAGCAGTTAAAGATGTCGTTGAGGGGGGTGGCGAGATCGGGGGCGAATTCACGTAGTAACCTCGGTGGGATGTCATCAGGGCCAGGAGATTTGCTTTTTGCTATCCTTCTTAAGTGTTGGTACACGTCGTATTCGCTGACAATTGCTTGCAGAGGGCGCGAGGGTAAGTAAGTTGGCAGTTCTGCTTATTGTAATGGTGGGAGTAGCTTGTTAATGTTCGCAAAGTGAAAGTTGATGATGTTAGCAGCGCTTTCTGGCGAGTCGGCCATTTCGCTTATGTGAGAGAGGTAACTGTCATTTCTTTTGTCACCGATTAAATTCCGAATGTGGCTATACCACGATTTGGGATTTGCGTCACTGATTTTATCAGTTATTTGCTTATGATAATTTTTCTTAGCCGATCTCATCTCTTGCCTAACCTTTTTTGCCAAGTACTTTGTTGCATCGGTGTTTTTTTGTTTTGTAAGCTTTTTGTCTTGCCAGGATAAGGTCTTTGATCCTGTTGGTGACCCATGGTTTGTCCTGATGGTGGGTGGAAGTTCTTTTTAAGGGGAAGCAGTTGTCAATTTGGTTCCGGACTGATTTATAAAAAAGTTGGCATTTAGTGTTCGGGTCGGGGGCGTTGAGAACGTCGGCCCAGTCATGATGAGTAATCCATGAATTTTAGAATCAGGGAATCTACGAATAAGTTTTGTTCCCTTTCATTGCTTGGGTATTACAATAGTGAGAAACATAATAATAATATGATAATTATAATGATAATTTAGATAAATAGTAATCAATATTATTCTAATGATATAATAATAATAATATAAATATGATATTATTATTATTATTGACATAATTATTATTATTGTCATTATTATTCCTAAAATTGTCATTATTATTATAATTGCAAAAATAGTTATAATGATGAAAATGACAATAATAAATGGGATATAATAACTGCAATAATGATAATGATAATTATGACGATAAATATGATAATCATGAAAATAATGACAATAATGATAACAATGAAGATAATGATAATTATTGAGCCCATTTATAATGAAAAAAGGGCTAAATGTAATAAAATTCCAAAAGTCGAAATAAACGGCAAAATCTAACGAATTATATCCTTTTGAGAGAATGATCGAAAACCCCCTTTTTCGATTTTAAACGATAGTGATTATTTTAGCAATACTTCAGTTAATTATGATCATTTTGATAATTCCATTAATATTGACAATAATGACGATATTAACAATAATAACAATATGATAATTGTAATGATAATATGGATAATAATTGCAAAAATAACAATAATTAAGAGCATTTTAATGGTTTTCATAATACTAATTATAGAAATGATTATTATATTATAATTATTGACATAATTATCATTACTGTTATTATAATTATTATTATTGTTATTGTTCCTAAAATTATCATGTTCTTATAATCGCAAAAATAGTTATAATAATGAAAATGACTATAATAAATGGGATATTAATTCTTATAACTGCAATAATGATAATAATAATTATGACGATAATTACTATAATGATAATAATCATGAAAATAATGACAATAATGATAATAATGATAATGATAATTACTCAGCCCATTTATAATGGAAAAAGGCCTAAAAGTAATAAAATCCCCAAAAGTTGAAAAACAGCAAAATCTAGCAAAATCCTTTGAGAGAATAGTCGAAAAACCCTCTTTCGATTCTAAACGATGATTATAATGATTTAAGCAATAATTCAGTTAATTATGATAATTTTGATGATAGTTCCATTAATACTGACAGTAATGGTAATATTAATTATAATAATGACAATAATAATATGATCATTATAATGATAACTTGGACAATAATTGCAAAAATAGCAATAATTAAGAGTATTCTAATGATTTTCATATTGATAATAATAATAGAAATAATTATTATAATTATTGACATAATTATCATTATTGTTATAATAATAATTATTATTATTCCTAAAATCATCATTATTCTTATTATAATCACAAAAATAGTTATAATGATGAAAATGACAATAAGAAATGGGACATTAATTATTATAACTACAATAATGATAATTACTATAATGATAATCATGAAAATAATGATAATAATGATGAAAATGATAATTATTGAGCCTATTTATAATGAAAAAAGGGCTAAAAGTAATAAAATCCCAAAAAGTCGAAAAAACGGCAAAACCTATCGAATTATATATATAGCCTCTTGAGAGAATAGTCGAAAAAACCTATTTCGATTCTAAACGATAATTATGATGATTTTATCAATAATTCAGTTAATTATGATCATTTTCATAATTCCATTAATATTGACAATAATGATGATATTAATGATAATAATGATAATAATATGATAATTATAATGATAATTTGGATAATAATTACAAAAATAGCAGTAATTAAGAGTATTCTAATGATTCTCATATTAATAATAAAAATAATAGAAACAATTATGATATCATTATTTACATTATAATTATTATTATTGTTATTATTATTCCTAAAATTATCATTATTGTTATTATAATCACAAAAATAATTAAAATGATGAAAATGACAATAGTAAATGGGGTATTAATTATAACTGCAATAATGATAATAATAATGATAATTATGATAATTACTATAAAGAATATAAAATCATGAAATGATGATAATAATGATGATAATGATAATTATTCAGCCCATTTATAATTTAAAAAGGGCTAAAAGTAATAAAATCTCAAAAAGTCGAAAAACGAAATATAGCCTTTTGAGAGAATAGTCGAAAAAAGACTTTTTCGATTCTAAACGATAATTATGATGATTTTAGCAATAATTCAGGTAATTATGATCATTTTGATGATAATGGTTTTCATAATAATAATGATAATAATAGAAATAAATATATTACCATTATTATTGACATAATAATTATTATTATAATTATTATTGTTGTTATATTCCTAAAATTATCATTATTGTTATTATAATCACAAGAATAGTTATAATGATGAAAATGACTATAATAAATGGGACATTAATTATTATAACTACAATAATGATAATTATAACGATAATTAATAATACTAATCATGAAAATAATGTCAATAATGATGATAATGATAATTATTGAGCCTATTTATAATGAAAAAGGGCTAAAAGTAATAAAATCCCAAAAGTAAAAAACCGGCAAAATCTATTGAATTATATGGTCGAAAAAAAACTTTCTCGATTCTAATATACAGTTTAATATATAATAATAATAGTTTAATATAATATGATAATTGTTTAATATAATATAATAGTTTAATATATTATAGCTCAATTTGTAGCTGAATGATATATCTGTGATGATGATTTTAGCAATAATTCAGTTAATTATGATAATTTTGATGATAATTCCATTAATATTAACCATAATGATATTGATGGTAATAATGACAATAATGATGATATTGATGATACTAATGACAATAATAATGATAATAATATGATAATTTTAATAATTATTATATGATAATTATAATGATAATTTGGATAATAATTGCAAAAATGGCAATGAATAAGAGTATTCTAATGATTTTCATATTAATAATAATGATAATCATAATTATGGTATAACAGTTATTATTGACCAAATTATTATTATTGTTCTTATAATTATTATTATTGTTATTGTAATTAGTATTATAGTTATCATCATTGTTGTTATTATAATCACAAAAATAGTTATAATGATGAAAATGACAACAATAAATGGGATATTAATTATAATAATTATAACTGCAATGATGATAATAATAATGATAATTATGACGACAATTGCTATAATGATATTAATCATGAAAATAATGATGATAAACATGAAAATAATGATAATAATGATGAATTTCATGCAAAAAAAAATCGACTTAGTCATTAAAATTATCATATTATTATATAATAATGATAATAATATGATGATGATTATAATGATAATTTGGATAATAATTGCAAAAATTTCCATATTTCCATATTAATAATAATAATAATAGAAAT